ACCATACCAGTGACCATACCAGTGACCATACCAGTGACCATACCAGTGACCATACCAGTGACCATACCAGTGAGCATACCAGTGAGCATACCAGTGACCATACCAGTGAGCATACCAGTGAGCATACCAGTGAGCATACCAGTGAGCATACCAGTGACCATACCAGTGAGCATACCAGTGACCATACCAGTGAGCATACCAGTGAGCATACCAGTGAGCATACCAGTGTTGAACATGAAGCTGGACCCCCAGACGTGGGCGCTGACCCTGAGGGACGTGAGGCCGGCTGACGGCGGCCAGTACATGTGCCAGATCAACACCGAGCCCATGATCACGCAGACGCACACGCTGCAGGTTTCTGGTCAGTATTACATAGTTTGCTACGTATGAGTAAATACCAGTGACCATACCAGTGACCATACCAGTGACCATACCAGTGACCATACCAGTGAGCATACCAGTGACCATACCAGTGAGCATACCAGTGACCATACCAGTGACCATACCAGTGACCATACCAGTGACCATACCAGTGACCATACCAGTGAGCATACCAGTGACCATACCAGTGAGCATACCAGTGAGCATACCAGTGACCATACCAGTGACCATACCAGTGAGCATACCAGTGAGCATACCAGTGAGCATACCAGTGTTGAACATGAAGCTGGACCCCCAGACGTGGGCGCTGACCCTGAGGGACGTGAGGCCGGCTGACGGCGGCCAGTACATGTGCCAGATCAACACCGAGCCCATGATCACGCAGACGCACACGCTGCAGGTTTCTGGTCAGTATTACATAGTTTGCTACGTATGAGTAAATACCAGTGACCATACCAGTGACCAGTGACCATACCAGTGAGCATACCAGTGACCATACCAGTGACCATACCAGTGACCATACCAGTGACCAGTGACTATACCAGTGAGCATACCAGTGACCATACCAGTGAGCATACCAGTGACCATACCAGTGACCATACCAGTGACCATACCAGTGACCATACCAGTGAGCATACCAGTGAGCATACCAGTGAGCATACCAGTGAGCATACCAGTGAGCATACCAGTGTTGAACATGAAGCTGGACCCCCAGACGTGGGCGCTGACCCTGAGGGACGTGAGGCCGGCTGACGGCGGCCAGTACATGTGCCAGATCAACACCGAGCCCATGATCACGCAGACGCACACGCTGCAGGTTTCTGGTCAGTATTACATAGTTTGCTACGTATGAGTAAATACCAGTGACCATACCAGTGACCATACCAGTGACCATACCAGTGACTATACCAGTGACCATACCAGTGACCATACCAGTGACCATACCAGTGAGCATACCAGTGACCATACCAGTGACCATACCAGTGACCATACCAGTGACCATACCAGTGACCATACCAGTGACCATACCAGTGACCATACCAGTGACCATACCAGTGACCATACCAGTGACCATACCAGTGAGCATACCAGTGTTGAACATGAAGCTGGACCCCCAGACGTGGGCGCTGACCCTGAGGGACGTGAGGCCGGCTGACGGCGGCCAGTACATGTGCCAGATCAACACCGAGCCCATGATCACGCAGACGCACACGCTGCAGATTTCTGGTCAGTATTACATAGTTTGCTACGTATGAGTAAATACCAGTGACCATACCAGTGACCATACCAGTGACCAGTGACTATACCAGTGACCATACCAGTGACCATACCAGTGACCATACCAGTGAGCATACCAGTGACCATACCAGTGAGCATACCAGTGACCATACCAGTGACCATACCAGTGACCATACCAGTGAGCATACCAGTGACCATACCAGTGACCATACCAGTGACCATACCAGTGAGCATACCAGTGACCATACCAGTGACCATACCAGTGAGCATACCAGTGACCATACCAGTGACCATACCAGTGACAATACCAGTGAGCATACCAGTGAGCATACCAGTGAGCATACCAGTGACCATACCAGTGAGCATACCAGTGAGCATACCAGTGTTGAACATGAAGCTGGACCCTCAGACGTGGGCGCTGACCCTGAGGGACGTGAGGCCGGCTGACGGCGGCCAGTACATGTGCCAGATCAACACCGAGCCCATGATCACGCAGACGCACACGCTGCAGGTTTCTGGTCAGTATTACATAGTTTGCTACGTATGAGTAAATACCAGTGACCATACCAGTGACCATACCAGTGACCATACCAGTGACCATACCAGTGACCATACCAGTGACCATACCAGTGAGCATACCAGTGAGCATACCAGTGTTGAACATGAAGCTGGACCCCCAGACGTGGGCGCTGACCCTGAGGGACGTACCGGTGAGCATACCAGTGACCATACCAGTGAGCATACCAGTGACCATACCAGTGACCATACCAGTGACCATACCAGTGACCATACCAGTGACCATACCAGTGAGCATACCAGTGAGCATACCAGTGAGCATACCAGTGAGCATACCAGTGTTGAACATGAAGCTGGACCCCCAGACGTGGGCGCTGACCCTGAGGGACGTGAGGCCGGCTGACGGCGGCCAGTACATGTGCCAGATCAACACCGAGCCCATGATCACGCAGACGCACACGCTTCAGGTTTCCTGTCAGTATTTATTATAATTAACTCGAAAGATCCAGCAGTGGGATCCAGCAAAGGCCTCCCTCGGTCTTCCATTCCATTCCTTCCAGTGCCAACGTCGTCCATTCCCTGGAATATGTATCGAAATCGTGGCGCCATAGTTTTCGGGATCTACATCTACATCTAGACCCGTCTTGAGGTACCCACGGCTCGGAAACGATTTTGGTCCATCGATCTTGGTGCATCCGAGAAACATGCCCGGTCCAATCCCACTTTAACTTGGCAGTCTGGTTAGTACTTATAATATCTTAATTTATAAAGGGTGCATAGTGCGGGCATGGTCGGACAAGACACGCAGCTGAGACTTCTTTTTCTTCTCTCGTCTCTATGGCTCAAATATATTTCGACCTGAAATGGTTTTTTTTTGTGGGTTTGTATAAATCCTGTGTACCTCTGCTCAAAAATACTGGGTTCTAAAAGTGGTGTTAAATATTAGAAAGCTTCACAAATTATACATATTTTTCAGTATTTTTGACTTGTGATAAATTAGAAAATTAAATATCCCAGTATAAAATGAGAAAAATCTTTCTGCTTATTCAAAGTAAGTAGCAGAACTTTGAGAAACATTCTAAGAAAACAGTGGGAGCTCCACAACTAGAGCGAAAATGAAATTTCTATTCAGTTTCCCGAGGACTTAACCTGGTGCATTTGCATAGCCTACCTAGTCATATTAGATTTGAAGTTTGCAGTGTTGCCAGCTAGGTGTGTATGAAAATTGACTGTTGTATGCTCTCCTGTCAGTTATTAACATGAGCAGAGACACATATTTATTCTGACTCTACTATTCGGATTGAACAATGATTGAAGTTCTTACTTCGATTTGTGGAGTCTTTAGTCTTTAAGGTTTTACTCTTTTTCGAAGTACTAAGCAACTTTTCAGTCTTTGTTTGTGGCGGAAAATACTGCTTCTTATTCTTTGCTATCAAAAATTTCCTGACAGCTAATCAATGCATCAAGCAAATATTCAGTCAGTATATTTGTTTCCATTAGATGTTTAAACCTAAAATACCTGCGGATAGGCGTGCAATGTGTATGAATTAAGAACCTAACTGATGACATTTGCTTGTATTTTTGTGTGAGTTTTTGGTGTAGCAGGCAACACTGACTTCATACAACTTAGCTCGTGCCGTGAAACTCGGTAAGCTTGTGTGGGAAGGAAAGTGACAGGCATGAGCACATACCTGCATGTACTATGCATATCCTGTTGCATATAATATGCATCTACTTCGCTGCACGTAATGCTTCTTCGAGATGACGTGCGGATGGATGGAACTGTTTACAAGTTGGTTGAGCAAAGCAAGTTCTAACACACTGGTAGCGTACAAAACACGATTTGAATACCAAAATAGATTTAGTTGTATAAATTACATAAAATAACATGTGTTTACTATACTAATCAACCGTGATTACGCGCACGCATACGCAGGCAGTGTCTGGCCTCTCATACAATCCCATGCGATACGTCATCTCTACGCGCGTAATGACGTCGTGCCTACGTGCACTTCACGAATACGGGCCCGGTGAGTGCCGCCCTTTAATGTGCTCCGTCCGGCCAGTTATTGAAACTGCAGCTTACGGAAACTTCGACAAGCGTAGCGTGGATGTTCTCCGTCCAGATAAACCGATGAGTTCCGGTGGTTGGAGAAAATGGGAGATCGTGCCGTATGTCTTACCCTGAGCGAGACCTATGCCCATCGGTGGGCTAATATTAGGCTGACGTAATCATTGGTCCCTTATTATAACTACTTCTGTATAGCGATTATGCCGTAACAACTTCCATGCTTTGTCTACAGTTCCTCCTGATATAGAAGACGCAGAGAGCAGTGGGGAAGCTCTTGTCAGGGAGGGGGAAAACGTCACTTTAAGGTGTGCCGCATCAGGCACCCCTCCCCCTGTCATCACGTGGCGAAGAGAGGACTCTACACCTATCAACGTTGGTGGAAAGTCAGGTAATATCACTATTTGTCTTTCGTACCTACTACTACTTTTTTGTACAATCGAATTCAGGCTGGGTGAGTCAGTTTGGAGAGACCTAGCCTAGGCTAGTGGTAAGGGCTATGAAACAAATGTCTCATGTGTTGCAATTAAATTTCTCTCTTCGTATGGGACACCGAGTCGATCAACGACCCGATGAACCCTGGTGTCAGAGTTTTTCAACCGCCTACTGCCAGTAGCAGGCCTCTGACATGGTTGTGTAACGACCGCCATCATAGACAGCAACCGGGACCGACGGCTTAACGTGTCCATCCGAAGCACGGAACCATCTTACTTGCGGACAATCAGGTGGTTCAGCCTGCAATGTCCTAACCAGACTGGGAACAAATTCACAAAGTGATAAATATCAACTTTGTGAGTGACCCCACCGGGAATTAAACCCGGAACCTTCTGCGTGGCAGGCAGTCATACTATAGTCCGTCAGGTTCGTGCGCGACCTTCCTGCGGGGTACAGACGGTTGGGGGGCGAGTAAGCACGTCATTTTAATATGACGTGCGGCGCGGATGCGCGCGTTTCCCTTCCCCGCTACACCTCCCGCTACCCGCTGACATCTCCCCTCCCAACGTCTGTCACCCCTAGGGAGGGTCGCGCACGAACTTGCAGGACTATAACCACTGCGCCACATCGGCTGTCGATTAAATTGGCAATTAAATTGATGTCCTATTTACACATTTTGAAATTTGACACAAGTAAACAATATTTCTATCGAGATATTATGTTCTCGTTTAATAATATCTCGATAGAAATAGTCTAAATATTTGTCGGAAATTCTGATTTAACATTTTCAAATTTAACACGCCTACTTTTAAGTCACAGAAAATTAAGGAAATGTTTAACTTCAGACGAACAAACCTCCAAAGTCTTCGTCTATTCCCAAGGCTGTTTCAATTGTAATTTACAATTTCATCATGATTAAATTAAAGGAGAATGTTAAACGTTAATAGCTCAATTCTCGGAAAGGATGAGGATAAACGTTTGTAATATTGTATTGTCTTAATTCAACGATGTTCACGAAACTAGAACAGTTTCGGAGAAGTCCTTGAACTTTTCATACAATTTCAATGTTTAATGCTGTTGTAGCATAGGATTGAACATTTATAGCATCACTTTTTGGAATTTTAGTAATATTTATAGTAATAATATTTTTCTTCTTGTGTGTGGGACACCAAGTTGACGAACGACCTGATGAATCCTTAAGGCCGTTCGAATAGACTGTATTTGACAGCTATCAAACCTATACTAGAAGACTTACAAAAATAGACCTTATGTAATAGTAATAGCATATTAATTTTAACAGCTGTCAAATATGACCTATTCAAACAGCCGTACCGTTAAGTCCGTATTTATTAATATTAATGTAATTGAGTAAGTTTTCAAATGCATTTCAACAGTGTAAAATTGTTTTCTTATAACATAAAATTTATTCCATAGTTGGTATTGTTGCTTGTTTAGTAAATATTATATTAATTTAGGATTCAAATATGTTACTATAAATGTAAATTCCGTGGTTTCAGTTGATTTTTTGATGGTTTACCTAATAAGTTGGATCCAAAGATCTACAGGAAGCAAACCCGTCAGGACTACGCCTATACTCGTCCTATACGCCTTGCATATTTTCTGAGCGTATTCTCCCGGTTAGGTTAGGTTAGATATTCTATTAGATTATTATTCTATTAACTACTTAATTGCTTCGTTGAATACCTACAACATAACATAGCCAAACACATGAACAACAAAGGAAACAAATTGCTTGTGAATCGTAATATCATAATACACGAACATGATCCCAAGTAAATAAACGTGATTTTTCCTGATCTACTCTTACCTAATTACCTGAAAAGATAAGGTTAAGATTCAGTCCAATTATATCTATCCGATTTTATTTGCTTATGTTTCAGAATTCCTTATTTGAACCTCTTCTATACCAATATTAATACTTAAGTACATTGACATAAAGGATTCTATACACAAACCTTTTTTGCACGACTGCCCAACCAAAAAAGGAGTGTAATGTTTTCAGGGTTCATGTATGTATTGTATGTATGTATGTATGTATGTATATATGTGCAATGCTATAACCCACTATAACTCGATAACTACTGAACAGATTTAAATGGGAGTAGTGTGAGAAGAATCCTTACACCATCCTGAGTGTCATAGGCTAGGTTTTGCCGTCTTAAACCTTAGGATAACTAGAAAAATTATCTAATTTTATTAATTAGGGATAGCAGCCACAGTAAATAAAACTCTTTGAACAAATCTTATTTTAAAATTCATGTCACACAATCTGTTGAAGTTTGATGTCGCTGTCATTGATTGAGTTGACGTTGCAGTATGTCTAATTATGTCACTGATACAAAATATTTACGTTTGTTATTGCAAAATAAAATAAATGTAAATAAATTCTGAAAAATAATTAATTAATAATAAAAAGAACATTCCAAACTGATAGATAAAATAACGCTGATAGTTTTTACTAATGGTACAGAGTTCTTATCCCGATGTCCAGCCTTGATGCTTTTGTAATGCAAAACATGTAAATATTCAAAGGCATCTTAGTATCAGGTAATTAGTTAAACTTATTATTGCATAAAAATAGCTCATACACAATGTGCAATGCCAGCAGATATATCTTAGGCGTCTGGTACTTAATTACATATACAAGCTACTGCTGGTGTTTCTCTGCATAGCTACTTTGATAGCTACATTGTTTGTTAATAGATTACGTAGGTTGTTATAACATTGACCAAACAATGATGATTTTATTGCAGAGCAGCTGTCTCCAGGATACTTTATTCATAGTAAAGTGAAGTATTCTTCAAAAGACTACTACTGCCAATGTAAGACATGAAAGCGCAGGCCCTGGTGGGCAAAAACTTGAGTGTTGATTAAAATAATACAGTCGGTATCAAGAAAATGTTGATTACACGCAACTTCTTTATGAGCTGAGCTGCTATGTAATATTAATGTATGTAGTCTAGACTTTGTAGTCAATAAAATAACCCATTTAAAATCTAAATCTGTTATCATTTAAGTAGTTATAATCAGTTATGGGCAGTTCAACTAGTAGGCATTAAGACCCGTTCACATTTCAGCGGTACGCGGTACGCGGTATTCTCCTCGCGGTACTGTTGCGATACCGCCGATCGATACAAATACCGCGACGGTATCGCACCTGTACCGCGAGAATACTGCGTGGGTGAAACCAAAGTAATGTGAAGGGGCTTTAAACACCAACACAGGGGAAGATTGCCTTCCTGATAGAAAGACAACAGACCAGCACAGATTTTGACAGGATGAGTGGTATGAATGTAGGACCAACATCGGGGGGTTGACGGGGGCTTGCCCCCCTCATAGAGAGACAACAGATCAGCACAGATTTTGACAGGATGACTGGTATGAATGTAGGACCAACATCGGGGGGTTGAGGGGGGCTTGCCCCCCTCATAGAGAGACAACAGATCAGCACAGATTTTTACAGGATGACTGGTATGAATGTAGGACCAACATCGGGGGGTTGAGGGGGGCTTGCCCCCCTCATAGGAAGACGATACATCAGCACGGATTTTTACAGGATGACTGGTATGAATGCAGAACCAACATCGGGGGGTTGAGGGGGGCTTGCCCCCCTCATAGAGAGACAACAGATCAGCACAGATTTTTACAGGATGACTGGTATGAATGTAGGACCAACATCGGGGGGTTGAGGGGGGCTTGCCCCCCTCATAGGAAGACAATAGAACAGCACAGATCTTTACAGGATGACTGGTATAAATATAAGACCAACATCAAAGGGTTGAAGGGGGCTTGCCCCCCTCATAGAAAGACAATAGAACAGCACAGATTTTTTCAGGATTACTGGTATGAATGTAGGACCAACATCAGGGGGTTAAAGGGGGTTTGCCCCCCTCATAGGAAGACAATAGAAAAGCACAGATTTTTACAGGATGACTGGTATGAATGTAGAACTTACATAGGGGGGTATTAATAGAAGCGTTCAGAATTTTTTTACATGATGACTAGTATGATGAACCAACCTTCTACAAACTAAATAACAAGTAAGTCGCGTAAACCTACATAATGAGTGATACTTGTTCGTTTAATAATAAAAATGATGAACCAACACCGGAGACCACAGAAAAACAGAAGAAACGAAAAAATTTTTACTTGCTAAATAATTTAAAAAGTAGTAAATAAAATAAATAATTAAAAAAATTAAAAAACACGCCTGCGTTTGTGGTAAAAATTGATCTGAAAGGTAAAAAACAAGTTATAATTTGTGAAAAATTTGGACGAGATACTTGGCTTGGATTGTTCTTCTATTTGGAAAATTGACGATGTTTTTATTAGTATTAAAAACATTATATAATATGAATAGTTATCTTTACCGTACATATAGGTTCAATATTATGTTTTTTTGTGACCAGACTTTACAATGCAGTCGGGGGATAGTTTGTTGTCATACAATCACGTTACAATCTCGAAAACTATCCCCCGTTTGCATTGTAAAGTCTGGTCACAAAAAAACATAATATTGAACCTATATGTACGGTAAAGATAACTATTCATATTATATAATGTTTTTAATACTAATAAAAACATCGTCAATTTTCCAAATAGAAGAACAATCCAAGCCAAGTATCTCGTCCAAATTTTTCACAAATTATAACTTGTTTTTTACCTTTCAGATCAATTTTTCCCACAAACGCAGGCGTGTTTTTTAATTTTTTTAATTATTTATTTTTTATTTGTAAACAAGAGTTACTTTACGAAAAGCTTACGATTTCGCTTAGTTTGCTTACCCCATACGTTCGAGTAAAGGTTAATCACACAGATTTTTAGTTCAGTTTCTTGCGTAACTGACATTATAGTCTGCTATCTTTGGAAGTCCGCTATATTTAATTTTAAGTGACGTCGACTTATAATTCGAGTTATTCTGAGAAAGCCCTTTCATCTGACTTTCATATTGTAAATAATCTTAGGTGGCCATCTTTAGATGTCCGCCATATTAGTTTATTGAAGCAAATCGTAATTCCAACGCCCTCTTTTCCTGAAATGTGTCCTAAAATTTAGTAAGACAGATAATAAACTAAAATTCACTTCACAGTGTCCAAATGGAGCGGTGTATGGCTGAACATGACAGAAGTATCAAGAGAGATGAATGGAGCCTTTCTCTGCATTGCAACCAACGGCGTCCCACCTTCTGTCAGCAAGAGAATACTGCTCAGAGTACTATGTAAGTACATAAGGTACTACCGCCAGCAACTGCACCTACCCATTTAAGGAATCAACTTATACTGGTTATTCTTTAGTATTTGTATGAAAATCCGATGTAAGTTGGTCCTTGGTAGGATGATTTGGTGGCGATAGTACAAGCTCGGAAGAATCGTACAAGTCAGGCGCAACTATTATCTGAAATTAGAGAAA